TTCTTTGCTCTTTTTTATTATTTGTTTTTAAGTTGATCCATATTTGTTCAAATTTCGTAAAAGAGCCCATGCTGATTAGATTTTGTTTGTATTAACTTAAATTTTTATAGTTAGACTTATGGACTTAATTAGAGTCCACAATAAACCCATATTTGCTTTAGGTTTTAGAGGATTTAAATAGCTTAGATGTGCTTTAAACTAATAGACGTAAATTATTTGCTATAAGTTTTAGAGTTTTAGGAATTGTCTCTTCTTTTCTTTTTTTTCTTTGAAATTTGTTTTTGACTTTTTCTTTGCTCTTCTCTTTTTTTTTTAAGTTTGTCTTTTCTAAATTTTGTTTGGTGGTCTTCATTCCTGATGACTAAATCTTGAGGATCAATTAATAAAGTCAATGTCAAAGAATTGAGTTTGTACTAATTATTTTTTTTCTTCGAGTTTTGTTTTACTCTTTATTAAGGTTAGTTTTTCTCTTGATTCTAAATTGTGTTTATCAAATTAGTAATATATTGAATCGTGATTTGATGATTAAATATGGATTAAATTGAACAATATTTTAAATTAATTTATATAAACGATTTAGTTGATTAATAGAATCTATTAATTATTTTTTACTTTAAAAATGTATGATAGAACTATTTGTACTTAGAGAGTCGAAGGTACTCTACAAAGAATTTTCTTCCACTTCAAAAACTTTCTCTACTGAGTACTTTTCCTCCAAACCTCTTTTGTTTTCTCGGTACTTGTCCTCTACAAAATGAGTGGGTGGGATGCCTACAGAAGATTCTCTGACGCTCAGGTCAATGTTTTAAGTGAGAGATTCTGGTCAAAGTATGATTAATGCAAAAGTGAAGTCAAAACTTGATTAAAGTAATATTTATAGGAATATTTTACTAACCATGGACCCTTACCTAGATGAGTCTAGATTATGGGTTCATTAGCCGATTGGCCCAATGGTTAGTTTAAATGTGGCGATATGCAGTCAGTTTTGGCTAAGTTATGTACTATGTTGATGTCTTCAATAAGCAGGAATAGGTCTTGGTAAGCAACACCCGACTCTAATGACGAGCGCGCCCATCGATGGATGACATTTAGTGTTTGGTTGGGGGAGCACGGTACTCGATGTCTACCATCGATATTTAATATATGATATGTTGAACTTGCTCCTTTAAGATGCAATCCTTAATTTTCGGTGGGTAGCTTTACCTTTACAAGGTATTCAACAATCGACATGTGACCTCTATTGGCCACAAGATACCTGGTATTAAGTATCTAGTATGAGATATCGAGTTTGTGTTTGGTTAGTCAATCATATTAAGGTCGGAATTGACAGGGTCAAAGGATATTCGACTACGTATATAGTACAATATTTTTTTTTGTTAGATATGTAGATTGATTTTGTTTTCATCTTTATCAATACTTAAATTTGTATTTTTTTGCAGTTTTAAAATTTTAAATCCCTAAACTCCAACTTAATTTGTATATAAAAAATATTAAAAATTGAATATAATAAATGCTTCCTTCGAGAAAATCAACTTAAATTATATTATATATTTCAAAATCTTAAAGAAAATTTAGAACATTTGATTTCATGAACAATAATGAAAATGAAGTGTACATTCAGAGAAGTAGTCAGACCTTTGAGTAAGAAAAGTGAGTGAAATTAATAAATATGCATTCAATGTTACTTAATTGCAGATAATGTCATTATTGATATCAAATTGGACGTGGGTAACTTATCCTTCACAATTAAAAAAGTTAAATTGTGATATAATTAGTAAAAATATCGAAAATTTAAGGATAAAGTTAGCTTAAGATGATACATTTATTTTCAACGTGAAAGTAATATTTGAATGTATGGAGACGGAGCGTGACCATTTTAATTTGTAATATAAGAATAAGTTTAACATCTTACTANTGGGGAGTGAGGATTTGAGGGTGGGAGTGGGAAGGAAGCAGCTTGGGCGGAGGAGTGGAAGAGGTGAAAGGTGATTAGTGGTTGGAGGGAAGAAGAAGCATCGACGCCACGTGGATTTGATGATTTAAAACACATCACCCATTCAATTTTAATGCACAATGCCACGCCATCAAAATATAAAATACACTTCCGCTAAACTTAACGTCGTCTGAAAGCACTTAACGGTTAGGGTAAAATTGACTCATTTTTACAAAAAATATGACCCAATTGAGACAGTTTCAAAAATGAGGATCCAACTGAGATTACCATACAAAAATGAGGACCAACCGAAGGTTTAAACCTAAAAGGTAAAAAAAAAAAGAGTAAATGTTGGATTTTAGCTTCATGATAGATAACTTTCTACTTATCTTAACTCATTCCCCCATTACTTCTTTTTCCTCTTTGGTTGACAATTTTTATTCCTTCTTCTAGTGCCTTTACCTTACAAGCTTATGCAAAGTCCTTTTGATCTTTAGGTGTATATGTGTTTCAAGTACAGTAGAGGCTTGTCAAGCCTACTGTAATTCTTACTTTTCATTTTGTGCCTTTGAGTGTAACCACCATCTTAAACACTTTAGAGAATAGTGATACACGTACTAGTGAGGATTTTACTATTCTTGATCCATGATTTAATTCAATTGTAATTATTGTTTACATTTATATTCTGAAATAAATATTTATTGTCTTGATTATTTAACACTTTGGATGCATGATTTATTGTTCCTTTTGCTCATAACATTCTCCTTTCAAGATCCATTTAGGAAGTTTGATTTCTAGTTTTCATTTCTTGTTTTTAGTTTTTAGTGTTCATATTTTCTTTTCTTAATTTTTTACTTTTTTTTGGAAGTGCTAAAAACTTAGTGAGAAAATTTGATAACAGATATTTTGTACACATTTATAGCTTTATTTTAAAGTGAATTCACTTTTCATATTTTAATAGTAATAAATTATGTTAAGTACATAATTGTTTTAAATTTTTATTTTCAACTCATTTGATTTTAGCTAATACGACCATATTTTTTTTAGATATTATTTTTGGTTTATTTGACTTGAATTGGATTTTACGTTTTCAAGGGATTTAAAATTTATGTATGGTTTGATAGATTTGTAATTCTTTGCTCTTTTTTATTATTTGTTTTTAAGTTGATCCATATTTGTTCAAATTTCGTAAAAGAGCCCATGCTGATTAGATTTTGTTTGTATTAACTTAAATTTTTATAGTTAGACTTATGGACTTAATTAGAGTCCACAATAAACCCATATTTGCTTTAGGTTTTAGAGGATTTAAATAGCTTAGATGTGCTTTAAACTAATAGACGTAAATTATTTGCTATAAGTTTTAGAGTTTTAGGAATTGTCTCTTCTTTTCTTTTTTTTCTTTGAAATTTGTTTTTGACTTTTTCTTTGCTCTTCTCTTTTTTTTTTAAGTTTGTCTTTTCTAAATTTTGTTTGGTGGTCTTCATTCCTGATGACTAAATCTTGAGGATCAATTAATAAAGTCAATGTCAAAGAATTGAGTTTGTACTAATTATTTTTTTTCTTCGAGTTTTGTTTTACTCTTTATTAAGGTTAGTTTTTCTCTTGATTCTAAATTGTGTTTATCAAATTAGTAATATATTGAATCGTGATTTGATGATTAAATATGGATTAAATTGAACAATATTTTAAATTAATTTATATAAACGATTTAGTTGATTAATAGAATCTATTAATTATTTTTTACTTTAAAAATGTATGATAGAACTATTTGTACTTAGAGAGTCGAAGGTACTCTACAAAGAATTTTCTTCCACTTCAAAAACTTTCTCTACTGAGTACTTTTCCTCCAAACCTCTTTTGTTTTCTCGGTACTTGTCCTCTACAAAATGAGTGGGTGGGATGCCTACAGAAGATTCTCTGACGCTCAGGTCAATGTTTTAAGTGAGAGATTCTGGTCAAAGTATGATTAATGCAAAAGTGAAGTCAAAACTTGATTAAAGTAATATTTATAGGAATATTTTACTAACCATGGACCCTTACCTAGATGAGTCTAGATTATGGGTTCATTAGCCGATTGGCCCAATGGTTAGTTTAAATGTGGCGATATGCAGTCAGTTTTGGCTAAGTTATGTACTATGTTGATGTCTTCAATAAGCAGGAATAGGTCTTGGTAAGCAACACCCGACTCTAATGACGAGCGCGCCCATCGATGGATGACATTTAGTGTTTGGTTGGGGGAGCACGGTACTCGATGTCTACCATCGATATTTAATATATGATATGTTGAACTTGCTCCTTTAAGATGCAATCCTTAATTTTCGGTGGGTAGCTTTACCTTTACAAGGTATTCAACAATCGACATGTGACCTCTATTGGCCACAAGATACCTGGTATTAAGTATCTAGTATGAGATATCGAGTTTGTGTTTGGTTAGTCAATCATATTAAGGTCGGAATTGACAGGGTCAAAGGATATTCGACTACGTATATAGTACAATATTTTTTTTTGTTAGATATGTAGATTGATTTTGTTTTCATCTTTATCAATACTTAAATTTGTATTTTTTTGCAGTTTTAAAATTTTAAATCCCTAAACTCCAACTTAATTTGTATATAAAAAATATTAAAAATTGAATATAATAAATGCTTCCTTCGAGAAAATCAACTTAAATTATATTATATATTTCAAAATCTTAAAGAAAATTTAGAACATTTGATTTCATGAACAATAATGAAAATGAAGTGTACATTCAGAGAAGTAGTCAGACCTTTGAGTAAGAAAAGTGAGTGAAATTAATAAATATGCATTCAATGTTACTTAATTGCAGATAATGTCATTATTGATATCAAATTGGACGTGGGTAACTTATCCTTCACAATTAAAAAAGTTAAATTGTGATATAATTAGTAAAAATATCGAAAATTTAAGGATAAAGTTAGTTTAAGATGATACATTTATTTTCAATGTGAAAGTAATATTTGAATGTATGGAGACGGAGCGTGACCATTTTAATTTGTAATATAAGAATAAGTTTAACATCTTACTAGAGAGATAGATGGGAGTAAAATCAAGGGCAGTTCAACACAATTTGAGTAGTATGGAATTTGGATATAGTTTTGTTATCCGTACATACAAATATTTTATCCGGACGTATCCACTAATAAAGATGCAGAGCCAGATTTAGGAGTTTGATAGTATACTGATGTATGCAGAAAGTACATATGCAAGTATATATTCCATAAAAGTCTGTCCTAGTGTGCCTGCAATTGTAACAAAGAGCTAAAGGGTTATCAGTTCTTCTTATCCTTCTTGCCGCCGGCCAGAATGCGCTGGATTTGAAGCCCTCGGCTGAATGCTTGGTTGAACAGCAGCCTAGTTTGGAATTCTGAAACAAATGGGAACCATGCCAATATGGCCACCGGAGTAAAAATAACTACTCCCATCAAGTATTCGTAGCCTCTTGCTAAAGCTTTCACAGACCCCCACATTCCAATGCCCTTCACGAATGGTCTGCATGCTTGTGCTATCTGCATAACACCAATCAGAAAGAACCGACTTTACACTAACTTTTTTCTTCTTATACCTCACTTGTAATATAATATTTAAGAGTATAACAGTTAATCGAGTTAGACTCTGCCATGATGAGTGAACCATAATATTCAAGTCAGACATATTTACTAAACAGGCACCTAGACAAATTTTCCAAGGTTCCAACATATGGTCAAATGTGTTTGGGACACATATTTAAGTTTTATGTATATTTCACATGATAAAATAAGACAAGAACCGAAGTAAGAGGCTAAGACCTCTAAGCACGAACCTGAATAAGTGCCCATGCTGTTGGCAAAAAGGCTAGGAGGCTCGCAAATATGTCTCCAACTGTAAGACTTAGCAGAGTAAACATTAAACTTAGAACAACAATGGCTCCCATGAACAGAAACAATTTGACAAGACGAAACATCAACTGGAAGTCTGCGCTGAACTGCTTTCTACCCATGGACACAATCTGCAGTTCAATTGTCACAAATTAATAAGATCATTATAAAGAACTTGCAGAAAGAACTTTTTTTTATCTCATGATACCAACCTTAAGAATAATCATGACAGCTACCATCACTATCCAGGACAAAGCATAAACCTGAAGAGAAAATTTAAGTCAGAAAACTTGTCTCTTTCTCTATCCATATATATATAGTCATTTCTAATATTATTTTATTTTATTGTTTTTGGCAGAGGGGAGAGGAGATAGTGATCTGTAATGTCATGGTATTTAGAAGAGGGCTAAATTCTTCTATATTTAAGGGATTGTGATAAGAATTTGAGTATTATGAATAGTTTGAAGTCCTACATAGAGTAGAATGTTTAGCTAGTTTTTTGTAGTTCATTACCCAATATTACTTTTTCTCATCCCAGTTAACAACACTTCACTCACCCTCAATTACCGGAGTTAGTAGTATAGACATTGGTGATAAATAAGTTAAACCCTGTTGTGTGGTTCCAGACATGAAAACATAAAACGAAATCAAATTAGCAAGCATAATTACCAAGATGCTCTTGTCACCTCTGGCTACATTGAGATGATACACAATTCCATATTGATAGACAAAGAAACGCAGGTCAAGAATAATCTCACATATCCGCCCCAGAAACCCAGTGTTCTGCAGATGTTCCTGTTCTTCATTCCACCATGACTCCCAACTCTTGTTTGAAGGAACACCAATACCACCTCGAATACTTATCCACTTTTGCCAATCATCCCAGTCCTCAACTATCTTCTGCCATTCAAACCCTGATGGATTGAAAAGGAAAGGTGAAAACAAGAATGAGCAGACCAAAAACCACATTGACCACGACAGAAGGCCAAATGTTGTTGAATCTGGTGCGGCTGATCCATAAATCCAATAACATATGAGCAAAATTGCGAGCTCAATCCCTTTAACAAAGTGACTTCTAGAGTACATCCTGTAATTTTCAGCAAATTTCTCATGGCGAACAACAAAACCACGGCCAGTTGCTCTATACTTTGCCCCTCCATGCAGAAGAGTGCGCCCAAAATAGTGCAGCTTTGTCCCTAGGGAGAAAGTGAAGAAAACAGGTGCTAGCTGCAACTGCATTATTATGAGATCCCCTATAGCAGTTCTGAACCCTCTCTCTAGTCCAATTTCCATGAACATGGGCAAAGTCATTACGATTCCTATTTGAACAAGGGACTGGGAAGCTAATGCTGCCTTTAGCGGTTCATTTCCCCTTCTCTTGGCCAACTTTACTATTTCAGCCTCAAATCCACTCAAAGACAGGTATAGTTTTCCATATAGTAATGCATAACATGTGAGGACCACAATCTACGAATAAAAAAAGAAAGATTTACTTGCATATGCAGAATTGCAAAATGGAGAAAAGGAAATACAAAGACATTTAAATAGATATATAGCTAAGACAAATTAAATAGCTTCCCTTAAATTACGAATTGTCAGTTCTAACTGTAACAATACTCTTGTCAGGTTTTCATTTTGGGGGAAGCACACAAATGGTTTAGTGTTCGTGTGATAAGAGATTAATTTGCGCATGCATTAATGATATTAGAATTTATTTGTTTTTAAATACAAAGTTAGTGTTAGTTTAATTTTAATGTCAAAAGCAAGTACTGTTTATGTAATAACCTAAATGCATTAGCCATTACCATTGAACTTATATAAAATCCAATGGTCGTGAAATAGCATGATAGCATGCGGAAAAAGTCAAAACGATGTCCCAGTCTGTAGATATCTCTGCTTAATGTCTGTTCTCCGTTACCACAAGCCACTTTTGCTTCAAAAAGTGAGATTTGATTGAGCCCAACATCTCTACCCTTTCCGCATTGGATGTATTCATGATGAGTGATATTTCCGCGTCTTAGTATGGAGTTGAATCCTGCACAGGCAAACGCATATGATGAAGCGTTCCAAAAAAAGCACATGATGCAATGTACCCAAAAAAATATATCATGCCGAAAAGGAAATATCAAATCTCAGTACAAAGAAAGATGTTTCAAGAAGGGTACCAGCAAAAATATCCTCGCTCAAATTGATTCCACAAGAAGCCTTGCTAAATCCTCCTCGAGTTATGTGGAAAATTCTATCAAAAACATCTGGATGACCGTAGTGGAATCGCACCCTAGAATTGAAGAAATCTAGTATAAGCCACAAAATTATCCTCCGCGTTCATTCTAATAATTGTCTTGCAACAATAGCAGAATATATGCCAAAGTAAAATTTGAGAGTTCACTAATTATTGTCTTCGAAAATTGAAACATGGGGCTATGACACTCAAACAACAAGAGCAAAATAGAGGGGAGAAGAAAGAAATAAGCAAAACTCATAAAAGTATCATTTGAATAATACTTAACTTGAAAGTAAACATTTATATTACTTGTAGTTCCCTTCTAAATAAAATCACTGTTGTTTTCTTTTTTGGGTCAGCAGAAAATAAAATCACTGTTTTAACTTGGGTGGGATAATGTTTTAGCCAATTGTTCTGCAGGAGGTTCCTGATTTATTCGTAGAAGTTAAACAGGTACTTACAACTCAACCATTTCATTAAATCACTAGAGAGAAACTTACTTCAGTGGTCTTGCAAGAACTCTTTGACCAATTGTGACAAAGCTTGTTTCTTGATTTGACATAAACCAAGCCAAGGAAGAGACACTGTAGCAGGTGATAAAATTAAGCAATATGGTAACTTAACATGACAGAATGCTCACTGTATGCGAATAAAATTCATCAGACCTGCCAGTAAAGATGTGTTCACGTACACCTAATATTGTAGGTCGTCGCACCCCATGATCTTCATTAAACTCTTCCAAAAGATTGCGCATTTTTAAAGCTTCTTCCAAGTAATTATCCTAAGAAATTTGCACCGTATCAACAGGTCAAAGTTTACAACGTTTTTCACTTACAAAATGTTTATAATTTTTACCTGGTTCATGTCAATAGTCTGAAGAGCTTCGCCTCTTGTAAAAATGATGGCATGATTTTGATTTTCAGGCTTCCCTTCCCCTATCTTTGCTGGACCCGGTAGTTTTATTCGAAATATTTCCTTCAGAAAAAATAATAAAACCTTCATTTCTATGTTAACCACAAATTAATTAAATTACATCCTGAATCGTTATGCATTTACTTGGTCAAGATTGTCCACAGCTTTGATTAGTACAGAGTAATAAACTTTCTGAACTCTCCCTCCCTCTCTTTCTTCAACTTCATCAATATAAGCCACACGAAGTGAGGGATTGCTACAAATGAAGAACTCGATATTATATTCTTAAATCAAGCGGACTTCAGAGCCAAAGGCAAATATGAATTGCATTTGAACTAAGTTCAATTCATGAATTGGAGAACATACTTAACCATCAAATTCAGAATGTCTGTCGCACGGCGATCTCCATTACGCTTCTGATTCCCATAGTTCTGACAGGTTGCGACGTATGTAAATTTCATGTCTGCAACGGCCTCTAAACTAGCATATAAGGACCTATGGCTCCTTCTATCTTCCTCGGACGGGACAGTAACAGCTTTATAGCCATCAAGTATCTCTGCCCACAAGATAACATAAAACCATAGAATCATCTATTCTTTGTAGATAACTACTATTTTGTCTATCACCATGAAGAATATGGTAAGTAATAAATTTCATATAAGTGATTGTTATGTATAAACCCTGTCCCTGGATTTGAAAAACCTATAGAACACTAGCATGTCATTGCCACAGTAGCAAGCAACTAGACTAAGCTAAATAGCTAAGAATAGAAGAGAATCACATTTACCCTTTTCATTTGCCATATCAAGAAAAGCCTGAAGCTTAATAGCCCGCCGGTAGTACATCATTCCCCTAACTGCATTAATGAACACGTACAAGAGGGAAAATGTTAATCACCAAATCCTGTTTGTGGGGATGAAGAGGGTAGAAGTCACAGTCACCTGTCCTGCTAAGAGTTTGTCCTCGTAACGAGGCCCAGTGACGTAGCTGTAATATGTGTTCATCTTTCTCCCATATCTCACTATCTTTCTTACAACCAAGACGTTCCATGAAGTTGTTCCACTCATCTGGTAAGATAAGTACAATTTAGCCAGTCCTTTCGCTACTAGCAAATTACAGTCAAGATATATAGTGATAGTTGTTACGCACCAGGGTAGATCTTTTGCAGGTAATATATGATTGACACGCCATCTTCATTTTCAACCTCAAGATCATTCTTCGAGTAGACAGTCTCTTCACTGTAGTATGGAGTTAAGACACTGCAAATAAAAAAGCAAAATGCTATTTATAAGCTCAAAACAACTTCGGAACACATCCGATTCAACACCAATGCATTCCAAATTGCTTTACAAGTAAAATATTCCATAAACCTGGGAAAGATAATTTGTGTAATAAGAATTACGAGATTAACCCTGATGATCACATATTCTCTAAACTCTGGAAGGATTTAAATATTCAATATGAAAGTTAGCAGAAAGGATGATGTTTCTGCAATTTATTATACATGACATGACATTTGCATACATCTTAATGGCCACAAGTTCTATACAAAAACCAAGCATCAGACCTTATTGGCAATGGATTCTATTTCAAGGGAACTAATGTCTATATAGATGAATAGACCGATAGTGACTTATTATTTTCCTAGGGAGTTACATTTTTTTTCCCCTTAAATGCAACTGATTTCAAAATTATTAGAAATACTCATGCTGCTGAGTGGTTCTGTACTCAAGCATTTCACCAAATCCAGTCTTCAACTAACCTGAAGGATAGCATTTTTCGGACTCGTGGAGCACGTGGCATATCCATGAACAATGAATTGGTGAAGAATGCAATCCTTCTGCGTGCTTCAAGATTTGTTGGAACCTCAATGGCAGATTCCTTCACCGTCAAAAGTAAATAAAGACGTCTAATCTGAAAATCCAAAATTATTTGTAAGTCACAGAAGTATCTGAAAATTTACTAATAACGGAAACTGTAAACGATAATGATAATAATAATAATACATTATTACCTGTTCGTCCCATTGTGCTGTAACTACAGGAGGGAATAATACAGCTGGTTTTGCATCTGTACCGGCAAAAAGTTGGCGTCCAGTATCCTTACTACTATGGTAAAGTTCTGCCAATTCACTGATGAACATCACAATATGAAAAACACACATTATTGTTATTAATGGAAGAAACATATACGAATTATTATATTCCAAATTCAGTACAGTCAAGTTAACCAACCTGTTCTCATTTACGACCATATCACGTATAAAAACTTCTAACATGTCTTGCAATAAGACCACCACTGTACCTTGTTTAGATGCATCTGCATCTTTCTGTAACCAGAAAAGGATAAGTAAGCATATAAACAAGATAGTTACAAGAAACCCTTTAAGACAACAAAGGTTATGTATGATTAGTTTTCTTTATACAACTCACCAAGATTTCCACAAGCTCCACAAACTTCTTACAAAGGGAAGGCAAAAACCCCATTCGGAAATTTGTGAGAAGTGTATTCTTATAGATGCTGTTTTCAACTTCCTTAATGATGACAGAGATTGTCCTGTTCCATCACAAAGAATTAAGCCTAATGATAATGACATACATTTTAATGGAGTGAACCATATGTTCATTCATTTATCTCGAGTCAGTTACCCAGACAGACAGATCAAATATAAATAGATAAATAAATGAAAAGTATATGGACGTCAAACAAGACTAATTGCTTTCGTGAATTAGAAACAGTAAGAGCCAAATTTATAGTCTTCACAAAAAATAGCTTGGGAAAAGAAAGCTTGATAGAATGCTAATGAAACTGGATCACAGTTTTGCTACACAAAAAAAAGAAAAAACATGGTTCGGATTAGTTATAATCTTACATTGATAATGCTTCTTGTATGAACTGTAAACGAAAATGGACAAACATCTATAGGGATAGATACTGAAAGCTACCTCGTTTCAGCTTCTCCTACTATCAAAGCATGCAGGATGTTTTTAAATGATTCATAGCATTCAATTACAGCACACTTCATATATTCATCTGCACATATGCGCTTCCAAAGATCGAAGTCCTTTCCTCGAAATTGAGCTGCCATGTCCAGTGCTATAGGAATCTGCAAATGTATACAGTGAGCCAATTTTACTGACTGCTAAGTAACACAAGTATATTAAAAATTGAATTACACAGACCTTGCTTGCTAGCAGAAAAGGTGGCCACTGAATTGTTTTCAAGCTTGGATCTGATGAGTATGGAACCATCAAAAGATCCATCTCCCTGGAGTGATACAAACATAGTTTAGTCCTTAGTAGGTGATAAGTCACAAATCAACATAAGGAGAAAGAATAGAAGATATGATTTAGGACAAAAAAAGGTAACTAAAGAGTTTGATTCTATGGCCTTTCCTATCACTTATGATATCTTCCTCACGGAAACTACAGATAACTTCATTCCATAACTGAGCAAATTTAGCTGCTTCACTCCTTCTGCTTGCAGAAATCTATACAAAAACATAAGTGGAGATAAATAGTTATATTTAGTTTGCTGTAGTTAGCACCAAAGTGAAAATATGATAGAAACCTCGTCAAATCGCTTCGATAAAGAAAATTTCTTCTTCTGCTTCTTGTCAGTAGGAACCAAGTATGCGTTGAATGCACCAGGTAATGATTGGAACCGCGATCTCAGCATGGTCAGAGTGCGTATCTGTGTAAGCAAATTGATATCAGCATTAACTGGTCGGTAAAACATTGTGCTTTGAAGTACTATATGTATTTTATTCCGTGACTTTTCCAATGTCAAGTCTTCCATAGAATGAAAAGGGAGATTCAAGTGTATTTACTTTATAGTTTTTTTTTATGCATACATGTTTTTCAAAAGTAAAGAAAGCCAATAAAATAGCTAATTTGCAACTTCTCTCCAGATATATAAATAAGATATATTGACAGTAACCTCTCCTAGACGATCAAAGGCTCCAATAACACCACCGCAAATAGTTGAAAAGATGGAATACCAAATTTGAGTGTCCATGAAATAAACCTGCATTCAAAATGTAACCTGAGATGTTTACATTGAAATTTATCCCAAACAAACGAAAAGATTGATATACGTGAGTATAACCACGAAATATAGCATACGCACCATAAGTACAGGGGCCCATAGAGCAATAACTGCACCATAGTTATTTTGAGCTGCGTAGACGACAAATACTAGATCAATAAAATTAACATGAAGTTGCTATGGTCTCATAAAATATGTGAAGAAAACTACCTTCAGGGAAAAATTCATGCCAGGCATAATCAACATGCCGAATACTCATTATGTCCTTAGTTGGCTGAACCAGAGGTTTGATCTGAAGAAAGAACAGTTATAAAGAGGCTCAACAAATTCACAAGACGTTATTAAGAAAATAACAACTACAACCATTTTAATAATTACCTCTATAAAAAAGCTGAATGAAAATTTGGCAGCCAAAAGAATCACCCAAAAAAGAGTGTATCTGAAATTTTAAAAGAAATAGATGATGAAAAAATTTCGAATTAATTATAGGAGCACAAACCTTAAGTAACTTGGATAACATAGTATTCTGCGAAACTCACTTTAGAAGAGAAAATTGACTCTCATGCATTCCTCTTCCCACATATATTCTTGGCTGCATGATGGTTATCAATTTATGTTAGAAATTTAGTCAATGATTCAAAAAAATTGCTTCCAACTGATTTCTATAATCAGGTCGGTATATGCATTAATTTCAACATTGAAAAAACAAATTGCACTTTAACAAGAATCACACCACTATAATAATTTCAATTTATAATGAAGAGAATTAGTTAAATCAGAAGACAAAAGTACCTGTGACCACCATAAGAGAAATCTAACTATGTGCCAGTCTGAGTTTTCAATCCAACGCCTAAGCATTGGAAAAAGAAAGAGAACAGCTGCTAGTAAATTTGGAAGCAGATAAACTGCAACTGCAAACATATACAATGGTGGAATCCCCTTTATACTATGAAGAAAAGAAAGCATATCCTTCATAAAGTTAGGGGCATCCTTGAAGGAATGCACATAGAAGAGTGGAAGAGCAATAACCCAGAAAAGGCTAACAACGACTTTGAGACAACTTCGTAGGACATCAGTGAATCTCCAACGATGATAGCCTGGAAAGTTCAAAGCCAGGTCCAAGATACCTAAATAAAAATAAAAATGAACAAATGCGATGTCACTTCTTCAACTACTAGCTTAAACAAAAACCAGAAAAAAAAATAAAAACTACTGAAACTATTGGTTCTGGTTAACAGTATGATAAATTATACAGAGAAACCTGAATCAATGTATCATACTTTGAAGTAAGCGTAGAACGGCTGCTGTAATGAATATGCTAGAGAGCTTATATAAGACCTCTTTCTGAAAGATATCCAATAATGAAATCCCTTCCCAGGCAATAATGAACATCATCTGCAATAAGAATGTTATGATCTTTTCAGAGCAACAATCATGGGACATGATGACATAATCATTTCTTCTGTTCAAAACAAATACCTGCAAAACTAGAANTTTTACCTGGTTCATGTCAATAGTCTGAAGAGCTTCGCCTCTTGTAAAAATGATGGCATGATTTTGATTTTCAGGCTTCCCTTCCCCTATCTTTGCTGGACCCGGTAGTTTTATTCGAAATATTTCCTTCAGAAAAAATAATAAAACCTTCATTTCTATGTTAACCACAAATTAATTAAATTACATCCTGAATCGTTATGCATTTACTTGGTCAAGATTGTCCACAGCTTTGATTAGTACAGAGTAATAAACTTTCTGAACTCTCCCTCCCTCTCTTTCTTCAACTTCATCAATATAAGCCACACGAAGTGAGGGATTGCTACAAATGAAGAACTCGATATTATATTCTTAAATCAAGCGGACTTCAGAGCCAAAGGCAAATATGAATTGCATTTGAACTAAGTTCAATTCATGAATTGGAGAACATACTTAACCATCAAATTCAGAATGTCTGTCGCACGGCGATCTCCATTACGCTTCTGATTCCCATAGTTCTGACAGGTTGCGACGTATGTAAATTTCATGTCTGCAACGGCCTCTAAACTAGCATATAAGGACCTATGGCTCCTTCTATCTTCCTCGGACGGGACAGTAACAGCTTTATAGCCATCAAGTATCTCTGCCCACAAGATAACATAAAACCATAGAATCATCTATTCTTTGTAGATAACTACTATTTTGTCTATCACCATGAAGAATATGGTAAGTAATAAATTTCATATAAGTGATTGTTATGTATAAACCCTGCCCCTGGATTTGAAAAACCTATAGAACACTAGCATGTCATTGCCACAGTAGCAAGCAACTAGACTAAGCTAAATAGCTAAGAATAGAAGAGAATCACATTTACCCTTTTCATTTGCCATATCAAGAAAAGCCTGAAGCTTAATAGCCCGCCGGTAGTACATCATTCCCCTAACTGCATTAATGAACACGTACAAGAGGGAAAATGTTAATCACCAAATCCTGTTTGTGGGGATGAAGAGGGTAGAAGTCACAGTCACCTGTCCTGCTAAGAGTTTGTCCTCGTAACGAGGCCCAGTGACGTAGCTGTAATATGTGTTCATCTTTCTCCCATATCTCACTATCTTTCTTACAACCAAGACGTTCCATGAAGTTGTTCCACTCATCTGGTAAGATAAGTACAATTTAGCCAGTCCTTTCGCTACTAGCAAATTACAGTCAAGATATATAGTGATAGTTGTTACGCACCAGGGTAGATCTTTTGCAGGTAATATATGATTGACACGCCATCTTCATTTTCAACCTCAAGATCATTCTTCGAGTAGACAGTCTCTTCACTGTAGTATGGAGTTAAGACACTGCAAATAAAAAAGCAAAATGCTATTTATAAGCTCAAAACAACTTCGGAACACATCCGATTCAACACCAATGCATTCCAAATTGCTTTACAAGTAAAATATTCCATAAACCTGGGAAAGATAATTTGTGTAATAAGAATTACGAGATTAACCCTGATGATCACATATTCTCTAAACTCTGGAAGGATTTAAATATTCAATATGAAAGTTAGCAGAAAGGATGATGTTTCTGCAATTTATTATACATGACATGACATTTGCATACATCTTAATGGCCACAAGTTCTATACAAAAACCAAGCATCAGACCTTATTGGCAATGGATTCTATTTCAAGGGAACTAATGTCTATATAGATGAATAGACCGATAGTGACTTATTATTTTCCTAGGGAGTTACATTTTTTTTCCCCTTAAATGCAACTGATTTCAAAATTATTAGAAATACTCATGCTGCTGAGTGGTTCTGAACTCAAGCATTTCACCAAATCCAGTCTTCAACTAACCTGAAGGATAGCATTTTTCGGACTCGTGGAGCACGTGGCATATCCATGAACAATGAATTGGTGAAGAATGCAATCCTTCTGCGTGCTTCAAGATTTGTTGGAACCTCAATGGCAGATTCCTTCACCGTCAAAAGTAAATAAAGACGTCTAATCTGAAAATCCAAAATTATTTGTAAGTCACAGAAGTATCTGAAAATTTACTAATAACGGAAACTGTAAACGATAATGATAATAATAATAATAATACATTATTACCTGTTCGTCCCATTGTGCTGTAACTACAGGAGGGAATAATACAGCTGGTTTTGCATCTTTACCGGCAAAAAGTTGGCGTCCAGTATCCTTACTACTATGGTAAAGTTCTGCCAATTCACTGATGAACATCACAATATGAAAAACACACATTATTGTTATTAATGGAAGAAACATATACGAATTATTATATTCCAAATTCAGTACAGTCAAGTTAACCAACCTGTTCTCATTTACGACCATATCACGTATAAAAACTTCTAACATGTCTTGCAATAAGACCACCACTGTACCTTGTTTAGATGCATCTGCATCTTTCTGTAACCAGAAAAGGATAAGTAAGCATATAAACAAGATAGTTACAAGAAACCCTTTAAGACAACAAAGGTTATGTATGATTAGTTTTCTTTATACAACTCACCAAGATTTCCACAAGCTCCACAAACTTCTTACAAAGGGAAGGCAAAAACCCCATTCGGAAATTTGTGAGAAGTGTATTCTTATAGATGCTGTTTTCAACTTCCTTAATGATGACAGAGATTGTCCTGTTCCATCACAAAGAATTAAGCCTAATGATAATGACATACATTTTAATGGAGTGAACCATATGTTCATTCATTTATCTCGAGTCAGTTACCCAGACAGACAGATCAAATATAAATAGATAAATAAATGAAAAGTATATGGACGTCAAACAAGACTAATTGCTTTCGTGAATTAGAAACAGTAAGAGCCAAATTTATAGTCTTCACAAAAAATAGCTTGGGAAAAGAAAGCTTGATAGAATGCTAATGAAACTGGATCACAGTTTTGCTACACAAAAAAAAGAAAAAACATGGTTCGGATTAGTTATAATCTTACATTGATAATGCTTCTTGTATGAACTGTAAACGAAAATGGACAAACATCTATAGGGATAGATACTGAAAGCTACCTCGTTTCAGCTTCTCCTACTATCAAAGCATGCAGGATGTTTTTAAATGATTCATAGCATTCAATTACAGCACACTTCATATATTCATCTGCACATATGCGCTTCCAAAGATCGAAGTCCTTTCCTCGAAATTGAGCTGCCATGTCCAGTGCTATAGGAATCTGCAAATGTATACAGTGAGCCAATTTTACTGACTGCTAAGTAACACAAGTATATTAAAAATTGAATTACACAGACCTTGCTTGCTAGCAGAAAAGGTGGCCACTGAATTGTTTTCAAGCTTGGATCTGATGAGTATGGAACCATCAAAAGATCCATCTCCCTGGAGTGATACAAACATAGTTTAGTCCTTAGTAGGTGATAAGTCACAAATCAACATAAGGAGAAAGAATAGAAGATATGATTTAGGACAAAAAAAGGTAACTAAAGAGTTTGATTCTATGGCCTTTCCTATCACTTATGATATCTTCCTCACGGAAACTACAGATAACTTCATTCCATAACTGAGCAAATTTAGCTGCTTCACTCCTTCTGCTTGCAGAAATCTATACAAAAACATAAGTGGAGATAAATAGTTATATTTAGTTTGCTGTAGTTAGCACCAAAGTGAAAATATGATAGAAACCTCGTCAAATCGCTTCGATAAAGAAAATTTCTTCTTCTGCTTCTTGTCAGTAGGAACCAAGTATGCGTTGAATGCACCAGGTAATGATTGGAACCGCGATCTCAGCATGGTCAGAGTGCGTATCTGTGTAAGCAAATTGATATCAGCATTAACTGGTCGGTAAAACATTGTGCTTTGAAGTACTATATGTATTTTATTCCGTGACTTTTCCAATGTCAAGTCTTCCATAGAATGAAAAGGGAGATTCAAGTGTATTTACTTTATAGTTTTTTTTTATGCATACATGTTTTTCAAAAGTAAAGAAAGCCAATAAAATAGCTAATTTGTAACTTCTCTCCAGATATATAAATAAGATATATTGACAGTAACCTCTCCTAGACGATCAAAGGCTCCAATAACACCACCGCAAATAGTTGAAAAGATGGAATACCAAATTTGAGTGTCCATGAAATAAACCTGCATTCAAAATGTAACCTGAGATGTTTACATTGAAATTTATCCCAAACAAACGAAAAGATTGATATACGTGAGTATAACCACGAAATATAGCATACGCACCATAAGTACAGGGGCCCATAGAGCAATAACTGCACCATAGTTATTTTGAGCTGCGTAGACGACAAATACTAGATCAATAAAATTAACATGAAGTTGCTATGGTCTCATAAAATATGTGAAGAAAACTACCTTCAGGGAAAAATTCATGCCAGGCATAATCAACATGCCGAATACTCATTATGTCCTTAGTTGGCTGAACCAGAGGTTTGATCTGAAGAAAGAACAGTTATAAAGAGGCTCTACAAATTCACAAGACGTTATTAAGAAAATAACAACTACAACCATTTTAATAATTACCTCTATAAAAAAGCTGAATGAAAATTTGGCAGCCAAAAGAATCACCCAAAAAAGAGTGTATCTGAAATTTTAAAAGAAATAGATGATGAAAAAATTTCGAATTAATTATAGGAGCACAAACCTTAAGTAACTTGGATAACATAGTATTCTGCGAAACTCACTTTAGAAGAGAAAATTGACTCTCATGCATTCCTCTTCCCACATATATTCTTGGCTGCATGATGGTTATCAATTTATGTTAGAAATTTAGTCAATGATTCAAAAAAATTGCTTCCAACTGATTTCTATAATCAGGTCGGTATATGCATTAATTTCAACATTGAAATAACAAATTGCACTTTAACAAGAATCACACCACTATAATAATTTCAATTTATAATGAAGAGAATTAGTTAAATCAGAAGACAAAAGTACCTGTGACCACCATAAGAGAAATCTAACTATGTGCCAGTCTGAGTTTTCAATCCAACGCCTAAGCATTGGAAAAAGAAAGAGAACAGCTGCTAGTAAATTTGGAAGCAGATAAACTGCAACTGCAAACATATACAATGGTGGAATCCCCTTTATACTATGAAGAAAAGAAAGCATATCCTTCATAAAGTTAGGGGCATCCTTGAAGGAATGCACATAGAAGAGTGGAAGAGCAATAACCCAGAAAAGGCTAACAACGACTTTGAGACAACTTCGTAGGACATCAGTGAATCTCCAACGATGATAGCCTGGAAAGTTCAAAGCCAGGTCCAAGATACCTAAATAAAAATAAAAATGAACAAATGCGATGTCACTTCTTCAACTACTAGCTTAAACAAAAATCAGAAAAAAAAATAAAAACTACTGAAACTATTGGTTCTGGTTAACAGTATGATAAATTATACAGAGAAACCTGAATCAATGTATCATACTTTGAAGTAAGCGTAGAACGGCTGCTGTAATGAATATGCTAGAGAGCTTATATAAGACCTCTTTCTGAAAGATATCCAATAATGAAATCCCTTCCCAGGCAATAATGAACATCATCTGCAATAAGAATGTTATGATCTTTTCAGAGCAACAATCATGGGACATGATGACATAATCATTTCTTCTGTTCAAAACAAATACCTGCAAAACTAGAAGATAGAAGGTCCAAAGACGATCAAAGCTGCGGAAGATGTTCCAGAATGATCGGGTCTCAACAAAATTTGTTTTGCCAGTTCTTCCAGATGTTTTTTGAACACCCTTTCTTCCCTGATATAAAATTCATATAAGTATTGGACTAAATAAATATCTTGTATTCAGGCAAGTGACTCCTAAGAGACTAAATACCTGTGTCATATTAAATGTTGATCTAAAAAATTCACCATCATCTCGCATGGGCCATCCCAGAGAAAAGCAATCAGGTGACCTGAAACCAAATGCAGCCAAAGTTAAAACAACAAAGGCAATAACTGAAACATTAAAGATGCGAAAGGAAGTCAGTTTCAATAAGAACTAAAAACTAAAAGGCAAACGAACCAGAAATATTCATTTAGGTCATCATAGTTGCACCAGGCTGAGTGAGGGGCTGCTCCATGTCTGCTCTTCTTAGCTTCCTGTGTTGATTAGCATGGTAGTAACTTATCACCGAGAAGAAAAAGCATCTCAAGTAAGTTGACGATCCAGTATCTGAAAAACCATACCTTTTCTATTACTCGGTATATAGGAGTTATAACCTTGCGCAAGAATGCCTCATCACCACCACCATAAGAAGGTTTGATGTTTTCACCAGTAACAATGCTGACATTTCCAGCCAATAAACCATGAAGTTCATACGCCATCTGAAGTTGTAGTTAACTATTATTAGTACGTGCAGAAAAATAACTAACAAATAAAATAAAAACGTTACAATTCATCAGCAAACACATTCTAGCAAAAGATATTGTAACACTTGAAAAATATGTACCCACATTATGAAATATGTAGCAAAGACATTCTGGCATGAAGCGAACATTGGATGCTTCACCCCATATGAGAAGATACAAGCCCATATAAAGTAACTTCCTTTGTTGTATCTCTTGACGACCTTGAGGGTATCTGCATGAAAGAATACCATAGACACTTTAGCATAATATTTTCAGATTTATTATTAAAAATATGATAGGAAAAGGTAGGAAAATTGTTTGGTAAAGGAGAAATTGTTATATCTTACCGTAAGCTATGTCTTCGTCCCAAAAATTTGCACCACGTTTTGTAATTCTTAAACAGTTTATTCATCACTGCATCAATGGCGCGATCATCAAGCTGCAGTTGTTTAAGAAAATCCAAATACAGTGAAATTTAGCTAAGGCTCAAGAGCAGAGCTGGCTATCCTATAACTAAATAATTTTGATGGGAGTTCTCTGTATTTCTGGTTTATCTCTATTAAACTTATAAATGATTTGCTAAGTACAAGAAGATGCGACATACAGTTACATACCTTGTTAAGGGTCTCAGGTTTGGGGTTTAGCCTTATGTGAGCATTAGCAAGAAGTAGAATTAAATGCTCTCTCTGGTTCCTGACGTTGTCCCTCTGAACAAAAATAAACCAAAAAGATTAACAAATTGCGGGGGCAATAAAAATGAAGAATTAAATCATATCATACCTGGAATCCAAACATGGCTCTAAGCCACTCAAGCAGATCCAAATCACCATTTCTCTGCCTTTGTTGCTCAAATAAAGTTGGCCAATTCAGGCCATGAGTATTCAAGAACGCCGAAACAGCTGCCTTAATCTAAAACGCAGAAAGATAACCACAGAGTTTGGTACAAAGCTAAACAAAATACTAACTCCAAACATCAATCGCGGCAGAAGGGATACCTCTTCAAGCTGCATGATAGGCTGAGAAGCCCCTGCTGAGTCCAACGGAAGAATGTTGAAAGGTGCATATATCTCCGTCTTTTCCTGGACATCTCTTGCAGCAGCAATGATCTGAATGCACAAAAATACTGCTGTCATTTACACCCTTCCAGCAAAAATTATACGGCAAGCTACGTTTGTCACAAGATAAAAATGAAAATGAAAATGTACTGTACATATTAATCAAGACAGACCTCAGGAGCTACTTCTTCGACCTTCTCGGTCTTGTTAACGGCACAAAGAACTTCAAAAAGCACCCCGGCGGTCTGGTAAGCTTTCCCGAGCTGTGCTCTAATGTTGAAAATAAAAAAGGGGGAGATACAGAGTAATGTTAAGCATGAAGGCGAAGGAGGTGTCCTTAACGAAACATAAAGCTTAAAGAGCGTGTAGTTTACCTGTCTGCCCGTTCTCCTTGGTCAAGAGCTCTGACATAATGCTCATAGTATTGCTGATAATAAGCCTGGATTTCCCTTGCATCTGTTTTCTTAACTCGAAGGGCAAGACTGTGTGCATTGTCCTAGAGTCAAGAAATCATGTGAGAGAAGCTCGAGTAGGAGAACCAAAATGCAACTCTTTCTATCTCCCTTTTAACAAAGGAGAAAATAATAATAATAATAATAATAATAATAATTTATTATTATTCTTATTCTTATTATTATGTTTATTATTATTATTATTATTATTTATTATTATTATTATTATTATTATTATTATTATTATTTATTATTATTATTATTATTATTTACAGTTATCCTGTGCTTAGTTCACTTATAGAATTTCATAATTCTATTTTTAGAAACACATAATGCTCATACTAGTACTAATAATTTAAATAAAAAACGGATGTGTTGTGATTTATATTATTAATAAATAAGTAAACGCTTTTAATTAGAAATGAAAATGTCTCGTTAATAAAGTTCACGATAAAACAAAATAAAAAATTATCAATACTTCTAATTTAATTTTAAAATATATTTATTTGTTTGTCATATAAAAGAATAATAATGATAAACAATAATGACTTTGATTTTATCCCAACCCATTTTAAAAGTATGAAAAATACTCAAACTACCACGTTAAATGAGAAATTACCACGATAATAATAATAATAATAATAATAATAATAATAATAATATAATAATAATAATAATAATAATATTATTATTATTATTATTCACTTTAAAAAGAAATAAGTAATGATTGATTATGCAACATAAATACATTCTTGTTTTAGTAACTGCAATAATGTGGACATCACTAAGATACAAGAATTAAACTTTGAAACAAGCAAAGAGACACAAGTCAATTTTGGTAGCATGACATGCATGTATTTGATCATCAAATTTTTTTAGCTATTTACTATTAATTTTAATCTAAGTATATTAGTAATATAAAAATTTAATGTAACTAGTTAAGTATGTGAGATAAACCAATTATATTTCATAATAAATACTTTAAAAATAATACTTAAATTGATTTTATAATAGTTGATAGTTTAAATAACCTAGAACATCTACAATTCATGCATATGGTTACTCAAATAAGCATCTTAATTTTGTAAGTCTTACAATGGCAGATATAGATTTAAGCATTCTATACAATTTACTTCAATACGGAGTGTTAAATTAAGTGAATAACCAAATTTGGTATATCTTTAAAATATTAGTTTTTCCCGTTCAAAGTATATTATTATATTTAAAACATTTTTTTAGACAAATAATTATATTTATATAAGTAATTTCAATATTTTCTTACAATAAAATGTCTGAAACAATAAATTTATTTCACCAACCTATATATGATGATCTTGTAAAAGTAAAACTATTGTTTCTATAACTCTTTGGTTTGTTATAAGTTAATCTCTCATATTGTGTGAGATAAGTGAAAAATATATGTTTGGGATATCAATGATTTTTAAGAGAGAAAATAAGAAAAAGAATGAAATATGTTTATTTATAATTTAATTAAACTTAGAGTATACATAAGTTAGTTTACAAAAATTTTCTTCTTTAGTTTTTTTTAAATTTAAAATAATTTTAATTTATAGAATTTGTTTTCCTTCTAAATTTATTTATGGTGTTATATTTTATTAATAGGAATACGATGCGAATTTCAGAATAATAAAGAAAGAGTTTATTACAGATAAGGTAATTATTATAATAAATTTATTATTTGCAATGGTTTATATTGCAATGGAGGCATGCGCTTTAAAATATAGGTTGTGGAAAATCCTTAGAATATAATTTCTTATTTTTTAGGTATGACTACTATTGTTTCAGAAAAAAGTAATACTGTTTCTTCAATAACCCTAAACTTTTAGTTTTAAAAATGACGCCATATATTTTTTGACGTGATAGTTTGAGACATGCGAGGGAAAAGATTTAGTTACGTACCCTCTCCAATCGCTGCAACAGCAGCGTCTTAAACTGCCTCACACCACGTCCGCTGGAGCTCTGATCCAACCGGTGCGCCTTCTCGAAAGCATAGAACCGACCTTACAACAACCAACAAACCAATTTCGGCGATTAAGACAATTTTCTATAAGATTTTCGTTACAACAAATTTGCTACTAAATAAAACAATATATATTATCGATGTAGTAAATTATCAAGGAGATAGGCAAAAATTATCCATGTATGAATTGCTGCACAACTCTTTCAGGCAAAACCGTGTCAAATACTAGAAAGCTAAGCAACATTGACGACAACATACATAGATAAGCAACCCTAGGGCGTTCGCTTTCGATCTCATTGGCGACTCGGAGAATCGGAGAAATGGAAGCGAGAGCAGACGGAACAACCTCATTGTCGAAAACCTCTGTGGAGAACGTCGTGGCGCCACTCCTCGACGGGCGCCGCGTCAGAGTGTACGGTGCCCCATCCAGACCGGGCATCGTTGCCCGCCACCTCGACGTTCCCTACTTTACCTCTTTCTCCTCTGTTACAATATCACGTGAACAAAATTAACCGACTAATCATAAAAAAAAAAATAAAGCGTATAAAATGAGAAGAAATTGAAGTGCAGTGGTGACGAAAACCTGGGAATAGAGGAGAAAGGAGGTTTCAGATGAAGCTGAAGCCGGATGCTGGTGATGAAGGAAAAGGAGAGAGGAGATAGGAGATAGGAGAGAGGAAGAAGGAGATGACACGTGGCAGAGGGAGAAAGGAAATGATTGGAAGAACAGGTTTTACGGAAGCAACACAAAATGAATATGAGAGTTTGAATTTCTCTTTTATACTACCGAGGGTATAGCGGAATCCTGCTATCTAGCGAATAATGTCATTACACTCACAAATATCACACCTTGATCTAATGCATTTCTGTTAAGGAAGTAAAATTTTTAGAAAGATGATTGATACACAGCAAAGGGAGAAACCTAACTATCAAACATTTGAAACTACCTTGACTACTATTGGGATGGCAGTTATCATGGCTCTACTGTAACTTTTTCACTGCATAAACCGCTGTATACAGTTCATTTAATTTACTTAAATTATCAATTACTATTGGCCTCTGTTCATATACAGATGGATACATGTGAGCGAAAAAAAATTGTTATTTGACATTATTTGCCTGTTGTTTGAAATCTTTATACAGATAAAATTATTTTAACACAAGTTAACTTTTATATTTTTAAAGAAAAAAAAAATAGATGATAATGAGAAACAGTATTAAATGGATAAAAAAAAGTGTATAATTACTGTTGTTAAAAAAAAAGCATCAATCTTGATAGTTAATGATATTTCCTCATCGACTGTATTACAAAGAACAAATGCCTAGTAAGACTGCTCCAACCAAGATGATAAAAAATATGTAGAGCTATATTTTGTTGGAAGTTCCTTACATTTTTATTTTTACTAAAGTGAAAGGATTTAGAAAAAAGTATAATAAGTAATAACTCGTATTTGACATTCCTGACTTTGTATAGAAATCTCGTGTTTTCAAAATATACAGATTTAACTTTACCAAATCTTAATACATACATAATATTAAATATTTTTTCCTTATATTTTTCTTAAGAGACTTTCCTCACCATCTTGCATAATTACCATTATCATTAATTTATCAAAAGTTTTCCCAAAACTTCAACATTTTAGACAAATAATATATGTGCAATAAATAAAATTAACAATGGAGTCAGGATGTTGGATTTAGTTTGTAACTACAATAATCTCATAATAAATCACGTTAATAAATAATTTTTTTATTATTATTTTATTATATATATATATATATATATATATATATATATATATATATATATATATATAATATGTGTGTGTGTAAAGGTCAATTTTAAGTATTAAAAATGTTTGACTATACACTTTCGGTTTCTTATTTTTATGCTATTTTTCCTTGCTACTTCATCAAATTGTCAGTGATAGTTGAGTTCCTTGACTTAAATCTTACCTTGTAAAAGCGAAAAAAAAAGGTCTCATAGTAAATCACAATTTATAAATAATATATTTTGTTTTTTGTTTTTATTTCACTGTTACCTGATCAACTATAATTCCTTGTTAAAGAGGGTTTTAAATCTTTATATAAATCATAATTCCTTTTATATTTTAAGTAATTAACTTGATTATTAAGAAAATAAGATGATAAAAACAATTTGATTTTATCCTTAGAAATTAAAAAATGTTTACTTAAATTGGGATTTAAAATTATTTATTCCTAATAAAGGGTTTTAGGGACTGATGGTTCGTCTTAAAATTAGGGTGAGTGTCATTGTTTTGATTCCAAGTTCAACGAGTGACATTGGAGTATTTAACTGTCTTTGGCATCGACTCTTAAACGATGATTCGTTTTAGAAGTTATCGACGCTATTGTGGGTGGCAATGTTTTAGTCCCAAGTTTGAGTGATATCATTAGGGTCACCTCTCACATACGAAGTATTGTCTACCTTGGAACTTGTGTTTCATCACAATTTTGTCTTTACCAAGTGTCATCGTTAGATCAATTACCCTTCATTCAAGGTATTATCTCCTTTGGAGTATGTGTTTCGTCACACGATTTTCTCCTTAAAAGATATTTTAGAGTAAAAGGAAGAAGGAGTATTCAAACTATTTTTGGATTCGATAGTGGAACTATTGAACATGATAGAAACAAAAATAAATTTTTTAACTATATTGTTAGTCCAAGATGTGAACAAGAGAAAGATATTGTGTATTGGTGAAATGAAAACAAAAGAGAGCAGAAAATAAATAGAGTCATGCATGCAAGCATGATAACATATAGGTTAACCACTTTGCTTAACATGCTCCTTTAACTTTAAGGTGGTGGATGTATAGCATTAACCCTAACTTTAGGACGAGTCAATAAAAGATCCCCCAAATATAGGTTTGGTAAAAGCATCTATGATTTGAAGACGCGTGTGAGAATGTGTTTGACAAAAGTTATTTTTGTTAGAATAAACTTAAATTTTAGGGATATATTAATAATTTTGTTTGAATCTTATTTTATTAGTTTGGGTCTAGTAATATTTAGTTTTTTGATAAAGATAAAATAGGTATGTAGTTTTGATTTTTCATTTATTTAGGTGTAGTATTATTTTTTTTATAATAAGATAGAGAGAAATTAAGTAGTTGTTTTTATTTTGAGTCGTTTATATTTTGTTTTTAGTTTTTATTATTTGTAGTTGGCTTAAGGCCCTATTTGCACTTATTTAAAAGGTATCAAGATTCAATGAAAATTATCACAATGAATTGAAGAGTATTATATATTATAGTGTGTGTCACGTTTATTTTTTCTACAATGAGGTATTAGAGCTTGATGCTCTAAGTACTGAGAAAAGAAAAAAAAAGAGAGGAAAGACAAATAACATGAGGGAAACAATGATTGGGATGAAAGGCTTGAACCTCTCGATTAATCACTATAGGTACAATTTGACTCGAATGAAACTCAAAATACTCAAAGCCAAGAGATGGAAACCTATTTAGGGAAATTCATTCAAAGGAGCATCAACTTAAGATAAGGCTAAGAAAGGAAAGTAGAAGAAGGATTTTTATAAGCTCTTTCTTGTTTTTCTCTAAGCCTTAGAAGGATTCTGACCACTAAATACTTGCAATTCTTATTTTTGGTAGGTTCAATAAAGCTAATCATCCAAGTTTTGTTAATCATGTGCGTTGTGTGTTGTTTTGTGTATCTAGTGTGATTCCCAGTTTGCAAGAGTGTCTTATTATTAGGTGTGCCTCTTTTTATAGGTGTTTGAAGAAGTTTATGGTTGTTTGTGTTTCAAGAAATTGTATGCAAAGAACTCTTGTAATTTCTAGATATAATGGAAAGCTAAGACCAGGTTGCTTTGGCTAAACTAGATGTAGCTCTTATGAGTGAACCAATATAAAAATTTATTGTGCATTATTATTCTTGTTTTTATCAATTGTAAGTTCTTTATCTTTGTATCAAGAAATTTAATAAGTTGAAATTGCATACAAACTTAAGTGTGATTGAGTGTATAACCAATTAATATGTCATTCTAAAATAATTTTGATCATTCTTTGATAAAATAAATTGGTTGTGTTTGTCACAACTTGCTTTGCAAAAATAACCAAGTAATCTGTCAAAATTTTAGCTAGATGTTTGTTTGTTTCAATCGGTTAGAATTTGTGTGTTTAGTAATAATGTGTTTTTGAATTCTTTTTGGTCAATCAAGATTAAACAAAAGTTTTCATAAATCTTTAATTGATTATTGTTTTAACCAGGTTAATTCAACCTCACTTTTTGGCCTTGAACTCTTTTAGTTTTAACAAGTCTTAATGATTCTTTTTTATGTAATGACTTCGTTGATGCATGTGTAGGTGAGTCCAGCTTGCCTAAGGTGGTGTTGGTGATGGATTCCACCTTGAGTATCATTAAGTTGTTAGTGACAATGATGTAGAAGTTGTCAATAATTAACAAGTCTAATGTGCAAGAAATTGAGGAATGATAACGGGGAAATTTTGTCACCATTAATGAGTTCATACAAATCATTAGTGGAAGGAGTTGTTTGAGCATATATATCAATAATGTGTGAGATCTAATTTCAAAACATGTGAGGATAAATTAAGATATGTTGGTTTTCAAATGAGTATTCATCAAAATCCCAAAATGAATAATATGAATAAAGGAGCAGAAAAAAATACTATAAAAACAAATAGTTGATTTTAGAGTTGTCACCACAATTGAATAAAATAGTTGTGTCAGAAATGAATTGTATAGGAGATAAATTGAAGTTTTTGTTAGAAAAAATACATAAGATTATTTGTAAATTTTGTAAAAAAATTGACACCGTTTATAATTTTTGTCATTGTATAAGAAAGTTTGTAATTTTTTGCTAAAAATTATAGGAAAGTTTGTAATTTTTTCAATAAAAAAAACTATGTTGAATAATAATACTTTTATTAAGTATTCATGAAAATAGATATTGAAGTATTGAACTACATTAAATTTAAGTTCTGTTTTTATTTTTGCTTTCATTCTGTAGGTGTGCTTTTACTTTCTTATTACAACAATTGTATTGGTGAGATAATAATGATTATGAGCACATATTATTGGGTTATGGTGTGGAGAAATGCTTCCAAGCAGTTTCGGTGAAGGAGAAATGGGTTGTGGCACAAGGGAATCGATTTTGGTGAAGGAAAAATTGATTCTAGAATGGATTCATTGTCCAGATAACCAATTCTCATAACAGATTTGCTTTAGAATCGATTCTGGGCGCTTATGAAATGCATGGAATCAATTTTGGTGTCCAGGGAATCAATTTTCCTTCGTAGAAATCGATTTTTCTACGTTTTTTAACGTGTTTTTAATGTGTGTTGTGTTGTAGGTGCTGCATTCTGTTGGAGTTATCGTGATGGTGATGATGTTGCTTAGAATGATTTGTATTCGATTTGTGTTTACACGTTTTGGGCCACTGTTGAGCTTATCATAAAGTGTGCTTTCCAGTTCGT